TATTTCTTTCTTATATATAATTCTAGTTTGCTATACTATTGAATAAATATCTTATTTTACACTTCTAGATTCTTAAAACTTTTTCTTATATAGTTGTTACTCTGGAATACTTTAGAATATTACTGCATCAATTAATATCATATTGATTACTTTGGATAATATCTCTAATTTAGTGTTTTGCTAACAAGCATATTTGTTCAAAATTATATAAAATTTTTATTTTAAACTTTGTAAGTTTTTATATATTTTATACTAACTTCTTGTTTATATTATGCTTCTTATGTAAAAAAAATCTGGGCCTGATCTTAGCAAAATAAATAAAGCAATTAGGCTTCTCTTAGAGTTAGTAGATCTTAACTATAAGCTTGGCTATTATGATCATATATATTCAAATATTTGTTTATTAATAAAGATAATATTACTTTTTTAAATACCTATTATCTTAAGAAGATTTATTCAAAATATATAATCTGAGTATTAGAAAAAGGTTTTATAGTTGTTAATCATCTATCTAAAGTTTATAAGATACTTAATGCTTATAAATGCATTAATAAGAGTTTGCCTTTTTGTTTAGTTCTAAATATTAATATAAGGCAAAAACCTAATTCTATAAATTTCAAATACCTTTTTTTAGATAAATATAAAATTTCTTATAAAGATTTAAAAAAACTTACAATAATATTATTTATTTATTTTTGTTTAATAATACTAGCTAACTTCAATTTTTATATTTAATTTAGTTATAAAATAACCTCTTTTAGCCTGATCTTTTGATTTATTGATATAAGATAGTACCTTTTTTTTCTTATTTATATTCAAAAAAAATTAGTAAATAAAATACAAAATTATAACAGAATTGATACTAAAGTCTTAGCATATGCCTAAAGGCAGCAAAGAAGATGTTTAATAAAAGTTAGTACTAATTTTAATATATATTTATAGGCATATAAAAAGTGTCATCAATTAGAAGCATTATATAATATATAAAACAGAATTACTGATAATGTAATATTTGTTCTAATGTATTAGAAAAAACATATTAATATATATTTGAAGATTTATTGCATAAAAAATTTTTATTCTGAAAACCTAAGTTCTTAGAAAGGTTACATTTAGATAAATACAATAAAGAGTTAGATTTGGTTTTTAAATATAGTAGTAATCAATATTGCTAAATTGTGCTTTTTTTTTATTTATAAGGACAGATAAATCCAGATGCACAAATTTGGCATGACTGAAAAAAAAAGGCTCTATGTTATAGAAAAAAAGTAATTCTTATCACAATTTTCTATTATATTATTAATTTAAAAACTTTTATAAAAAGTGCCTTGCATGCATTCAGCTTTTTTCTAATAAGAACTATCTAGAAAAACTCTCTAAAAGAAAGCATAAGCTCTTTTTTAATATGCAATAATTGTTCTTTTACAAAAGAATATTGAAATTCTGAATTATTTAAATAAATTTAAAACAGACATCAAAGGATTTTTTCCAACAACAATTTTTTGAATCTTATAAAGGCTAGGCATCATATTGGATCTGTTATTCTATATTGCTTAAAAGAATTATTTTTCTACTCTCTAGAGGCAAGCAAAAATTGAACAGTAGTATTCTTTGATAGTTGTAGTTTATTAACACCTATTGAATGATTATATTTTACAATAGCTTGGAATATATTTGCTTAAAGTTTTGTGATATTATTAAAACTTATTCTAATTAGTTAGGTTAAAGTGCCATTTATATTGTCAACAATTTTTTATGCAAACCTTTTATATTCTCTATAGCATTTGCTAGTAGATAAAAGAAACTTTATTACATACTGGTTTTTAAAATCTTTAATTTAAATAATTCAGTATAACAATCGACTATTGTCATGCTTGTATATCTAAAACATGCCTTAATTTTTTGGATATTAATATTATATTTATTTATTATTAATGTTATATTTTTTATACACTTATGACCTTCATTATATTACAATAGTTAAGGCTAATTAAAAGAATTGTTAGAATTATCATATTTATTTTTAAATGTTTCTGCAACTTTTTTACTACTTTTTGATATTAAAAAAACAAAATCATTATATCTAGTTATACAATTTATAACTAATAATATATAGTAAAATATTAGTTATCATCTAGTAAATCTGTATTTACATTATATAGTATTTTAATTAAATTATACTAGTATATAGTATTTGACTTTATGATTTTAGAGTAACTAGTATAAAAAATTTGTTTTAATGAAGACTAAAAGATTTGATATAATATCTGATTATTAAGCTATTTTTTTATATTAGTAAATAAAAAGGTATAATCAGCTTTCTTATATGCATTTCATAGTCCTTTTGTATTTTGGTAAAGGCTCTTAAAATAATAATATAGCTTCTGTAAGGTAAAATGTCAGTTTAGATCATGAGCTTTTTTAGAATCAATAAAAATAAAAAGCATTTGTTTTGCAATAACTTGATCTAGCTCTTATGCTTTTTGAGTATTGATATAAATAACTAGTTCTTTCATTTTGATTCTTTTTATAGATTTAGCAATTTTTAAATTAATATAAATTATAAAAAATAAAAAAAATCTAAAGAAATTACAACAAAGTAATCAAAACTTCACAAGGTAGTATTTCAATTAGCAAAATCAAATAGGAATTTCAAACAATAATTATACACCTTAGAAAAAGTTATTAGTATATAAGAAGAAAGAATTTGATTTTTTAAAGAAGAGTTAAATAATATTATTGAATTTTTTAAACAAGTCAAAAAAGAATTAACAGAAAAAATTTCAAAATTAAAAAGAATTGTCTAACAGCTTAAAGAAGAAAATAAAAGGAAAGACAAAAAAATTTTTAATAAAAGAAAATTGATATCAGAATTCAATAAATATAAGACTAAATAAAAACTCCAAATATAAGAAATATTAAAATTTGCAAATAATATCTCAAAGCATAAAATTATATAACCAAATTAGTAAATAAAAATAAACAGCTTAAATAAGAAATAAATACAATAAGAACTAATTAAATAAATAAAATTGGCTGTATTGACTTAGTAAAATAAATAAGTTGTCAACCTTCCAAGTAGTAGATTATAAGTTCAAAACCCACCAATAGTGAAAATTTGGATAATTATCTATGTAATATATAGATGATATTATGGTAATAGCATTCTGTTAATCAGTTAGAATAAGATACCTGTAACTATAGTTATACTAACATGACTGGCAGGTCACAAAGAATTTGTATAACCTCAGTTATATAGAAAAATGCAAACTAATACTAGGTAGTGCAAATCTAAAATAAGTTTTTGTGGCTATGTAAATTCGTAGAACTGAAAAACTGATACCTACTTGGAAATACTAAGTAGAGAAATAGTACAGATCTTTGACAATACTACTGTAAAGGCTAGACCTAGGAAATAGCAAGCAAAAACCTTGAGTGAAAGGTATCACCAACTAGGCTATTGGATTTTAAACCAGAAAAAAAAGATATCAGACTGGCTTTGATATACCAAAGACAGATTACAGTCCTTGCTATCTGAATTGGAAGTCTAAGAACAAAAGCAAGAGTATACTAAAAGTACTAAAGATATGTTATAAAGTTATTGCTAAGATCTGAGTGAACTTTGCAAGAGTAGCTCTTATTAATGTTTTATAGAATGATAAGTAGTTAACAAGAGGGCCTACTGTGTCTTACTGGCAAGTATTATATTCTGAAATATATAATGGCCTAAAAACTAGTACAAAAAGAGTAGGTATCATACTGCTTAGACAGTATATCAGTTAGATATATATAAGGGTTAGTTGGTATTACATCATGACAGAGTAAATGATTAAAAAGTTTAAATAGATAATCTTCTAGTAAGTTATAGATATAATATTTAATATAGAATCTTAGAGCAGACTACTTAAATAGGCAACCAAAAGTTGCATATATGACTAGTTGTACTCTTATCTTTATATAAAATAGTTGTAATAACTAATATAATAAAAAGTCAATAAAGTTTTGCTACAAAGTATAGTCTTTAATACAAAAACAAATAAAATAAATAAAATAAAAATAAAATAAATAAAATTAACAAAATAACTCAATAAAAAAAACTGTATTACAGATCTGTTTTGTCAAATTTTGCATTATTATTATTAAGATACCAAGATAGATTAAAACTTATAAATATATAAAAGGCTTTACAAAATGCATAAGCATAAAATTATAATAAAAACAAATCTGATCTTAATAAAAATTTTCAAGATAATTATACTTTTGAATTAGATATAGCTATAATAACTGAATTGGCTAATGCTATAAACTGATCTCTAAAAAATAGAACAATATATAAAACTTTTTTAAAAAATTAAATTAAAAGATCAACAAGATCAATCTAATATAAATATACTAACTTACAACAAGATTTGGTAAATAAACAATAAATTATAATATATACAGACAGGAGTAAGACTAGACATTACTTGAACTTCATTAGATATATATAGACTAATGCTTAGAATTAAGTAAACAGAATAATAAATAATATAACAATAAAGCAAACCTATATTGGTGCATTACTATGTAAAAATTTTGCTTTTTAGTTATTGTATTAATGAAATGTCTTATATCTATAATGATGCAGAGTTAATAAAGCTTTGTTAGAATATAATTAAAATAGGTTATATAAATAATATAAGAAGTAGAAAAATAAGACTCATGCAGAGCATCAAAATATTTTAATTTTAAATTAACAAATTTTTGCACTACAGAATAATCTACCTAATATACAATAAATAAAAATGGCAGAAATACTGCAACTATTTTTTAACTAGAGCGATAATATATTACATTTTCTTGCAAAACTTAAATTATACTTGCAAAACCAAAAATGTAGATCTAGCAAATAATATAGAAGGTCCATCAATAAAAAGAAAAATAGCTATAAGATATTTAAGAGAATGCATGAAAAAAAGAGCTTTAGAATAGTTTGATGAAGAAATTATAATGAAAACAAATTAGGAATTAACTAACTTATTTGATAATATAGAGCAGGCTAACTTAGTAGTTATAAATAAACAAACAGCAATACAGATTGAAGCTAATATATTGAATAAGATAGTTGGCCAATCAGTAAATGCAATAGTTAAATTAAAAGCTATAGAAAGTTCTTGTAATAAAGATTGGTACATAGCAGGTGATTGTTTTACCAATAATGCTGTTAATGCACTAAATGCTAACAATAATACTATAGTAGTTATAATTAGTATTTATTTTAGTCAAGCAATATAGTAGCTAAAAACATATTTTTTTACAGTAAAAGAGAAGCTTCAGAATTTGATGTATAAAACAATTAGAGAAGAAAATATAACTATAGATAAATTATATAAAAATTATTGTAAATAAGTAGACAAGCCAATTATAAATCTAAAGAATTATATAGAAAGTTCTTAGATGCTTTTTTACTCTTATGATTTAAAAAAGCTAAAAATATTAATAAATATTTGCTATTAGATAAACTAGCTAAAAAGCTTTATGAAATAGAATTATATTGAATAGTTAGATATAAAAAAGATAGAATATCTAATTTGCTAGCATCTTGAGAAATATATAAACTTTCACCTGATTTAGCTTCTAAATAACAAGAAATTTTCTTAACAGATATACAAAAAACATTCTAAAACATATTAGTATAGCAAAAAACTAAATATCAGTCTTTATTAGAAAAGCAAAAAACTGATTTTTAAGCACAGATAGTCTAGCAAATAGTTGCTTAAAAAGTACAGAGATCAGCTTTACAAACTGTTAAACTAGTTAGACAGCCAAGAGGTCCTTCATTATTATTGCAATTAGAAAAAGCTTACAGAAATTATTATATAGCTAAATACTTGAAAGACTTAAATATATTTAACAAGAAAGATTTAGATTCAACTTATTTTGTAAAACCTTTTTAAAGACCTTGCCTATAACAAAGCAATGTCTTTGCTAGAATTGATAAAGTAGAAGAAAGGATAAATAAAACTTCTTTGCTGAACTTTTAATTTTTTTAAAATATAATTATAATATAATTAATATATATTTTTTATATAATTTGAAATTTTATATTATAAATATATCGACAATCACTTGTACCGAATTTTACACCAACAAAAACGGAAAACTTATTGGAGAAAGTAGAAGAGGCTACTATACAAATAACGGTTTTTATAAAGGTCAA